TGTTAGAAAGCTAGAATGCTCCAGCTGAATTTGAAAAAAGGAATAGTACTTTCATATTTGTTTCAGTAGATGGGAAATGTTATCAGAGAATGTAATATTCTAACACTGCCACCCCTGTTGCCATTTTCATAATATTATATTAAACTGAAGATGAAACATAACATAATATTGAGTTACGTTGAATATACCATCGAAAAAGGCACATTATAAACCCATCTTAAACAAAATTATGTCCAGGAAAAACTGAAGATAACACTTCCTTTATTCAAAGAAGCAAAAAATTTGTTACCACCAGATGGAGGATTTCCATGATTCCCTTCTATGTAAAGACAAATTTATTAATATTAACATGAATGCAAATGCAAATGTTTTCTAACATTAATAAATGTCCGTAGAACCAAAGTAGTAAATCCACCCATGCCCATAAAAATGTTTTCTGTATACTAGTGGAAAAGGTACAGATCTTCCGGTTTGCACCTCTCTAATTAGTTTATTGGGAACTCAAAATCAACTTCGCTCTAGTAACATTCTGTTTGCTTTATGTATCTACCATTCCAATCCACCAACTATAAAGAACTAAAATCACCAAAAAAATCCATCAAAACTAGCAACTTCTTATCCACCCCTTCATTGAGAAGAAATAATTTGCGTAGGACAAAAATCACACAGCATAAGCATATCAAGAGAATATGCTTAATAATTTTGCGTAATAGCTGCTGCTTGCATGCTGATAAGAATTATTCCAAACACAGCATATGAGAGGGTGTGCATGTATTCGAACAAGCCGGAAGATATCAAATATATGTCACCAAAACTTTGTGAAACAGTATCTTCATATAGATAGCAGAAATAAAAAAAAATACGAAAACCTTCTCTTGAAGGTGGCATAACAAAGGACAAGTAATTGCACCACTAATAGCTCGAAAAAAGAAAAAACAATCATGTACCTTATGACTCCCAGGATGCAGTTTTGAAGTTGCAAAAGGAGCTTGGCCACTGCTACTACTTCCCTCATATTTAACAGGATTGTCTAGCTTTCTGTTAATTGATGCTAAATCATTCATATTGAATTTCCCATTTGTGTTGGTAGGTGGTCTACTAGACTCTTCCTCAAATTTCCTGTTTGGTTGATCAGTTGTTGTTGAAGTAGAGACACCATCAGATCCTTCATTTACAATGATGGGTAACTGTCTAATATCTTCAAAAGCTTTCCTCTTTGTCTGAGACCTTGTTACGGGAGACAAAGAGACACTACTCTGGACGCCATTCAGCTGGAGGTTTGGACCCTTCTTTGAAAATTGTGTCGCAGCAGCACGAGCACCAGCTATTGCTGCTTGGAGACTTGATGATTTCTCCACTGGAGATGTTTTAGATTCAGCAAACTGCTCAGATAAAGATCCTGGCTTCAATGAAAAAGGATCCCTTGGATTTGGAAGTGGAAATTTCACTGGTAATGGGCCTTCAACTGGAGTCAGGCCTCTAACAGCAGCATCATATACCTGTGCACATAAAAATTACTCATAATTCACAACGACAATATAGATTTTCTGCCTATAAAAGAGGCAGAGTATGCAAAATTCTAGCACCACAAATACCTTTCTTTCCAAGTTATAGACACCTTGATACCCTCGCATCTCAAATGGAATTAACAACTTCTGCACCAGTTCAATAATTATCAGCTAAGCAAAATATGATGTTCTATCTAGAGTTTACATACTATATTTTTGGCAGTTTAAAAAATCACCTTTGGCTGCTCACAAAGCCAGCAAAAATCAGTCTGTCCTTCTAGCCTAACCTGTACCAAAAGAATTGGAATCTTAGAGACTATGAGGTGACATCATATTGAAATATAGATGCAAAGAATAGATCGGAAAAGTTGTCCAACCCCCTCAGGTAATATCTTCCAATTGGCTAGTTCTTCACATCTGAGACAACCGACCACCTCCACACATCCTATGTCAAACACATGGCCATCAGAAAAAAAATGTGAAAAACTTAGGATTTCAGTACACTACATTATTTTGATAGTCCCAAAAATATAATAGCATTCAGCATTTAAATTAAAGCATCTACAAGAAAAGGGACCTGCTATCAACTTCAGCACCAGAACGCTGGCTAGAGAAAACTCCCTACTATGTTTGTTCCTCCTCCCCCAAACAAAAAGAAGAGAGAATCGGATGTTTTAATTAATCACCCATGCCATGTAAATCATTTAGTATTATGAAGTGTGACTTTGCTTGCATGTCAATTGCAGGCATGCATGGCCATTTGTTTGTCAAGTAATCCAAGTTAATCTATCATTTGCCAACATGCATTATGTTTTCTTCTTTTTACCAGTCTTACCAATCTCACTAACCAGAATGTGGTCTTTACTGATGCTTTAGGAAGGTGACTACTCCTCTAATGTAAAGGTTACTGTTTAGATAGTTTTTCTCAACCGGATTAACATTAATGATTTGTTTCAGGCTCACAAACCCAGACATGCTTTATCTCCTGATTTATGTGTTCTCATCAGTCCGAGTCCCAGGGTCACCTATTTCTTATCCTTAATATAGGTTTTCTTCCCTCTCTCTAATAACATTTCTTGTTTTACAAAAATTAATAAACAATAATTCAAGCGAATCTTTTACTATTTCAAAAAAAATAATTCAAGTGAATCTTAATCACATTTAAATACATAGCCCTTATCCATTCAAGTCAGATCTGTTAGAAATATCTGTGCAAGACACTATAAAAGCATGTTTTTTCTTAAGATAAAGAGACACTACAAACAGTGTTAGTATCCTTGGGATAAATATTGAGCCTAAATGCGAGCAAGACAGAAAATTCCAGTGCAATGAGATTAACAATTGGTTATATTCTCCTCCTAAATTAAAGCAAATTCAGGTTTATCATATGATCAATATCACAACTGATTTTTTTATCCTGCATAAATCAACAGTCTCAGGTAGAATCAATTTTTTAACATACTTTTAACTACCAATTAATTAGTTTCAAAAAATTCAGAAACCAACTTGTGGAAAGAAAGGAGAAAAATAGTAGAAGCTAATGGGTAACAAAGAGAAAAGGGAAACATACTTTTTGAAATAAATACACTATGAAACAAATACCTAAAAGTCTTGAAACAGGGTAATATTCTGGAAATTTTATATCAGTAATTCCATTCACGGCATAAATTTCCTGATAGAAGTCCTCCATTGCTTTGATTGTAGCTTCATCAGGAACCTTACTGGCTGCGTGAATCCAGAGGCGACCTTTAAAACAAAAGTTCATCACAATTAAAAACATGTTTGACAGAATAAAAATAAAAATATGTTATCTAGAAAGCATTAATTATTTTTTGAAATAAGTTGTCTAGAAAACACTAATATAAGAATTAAGTTTGAAATGCATCACTTGCTTCTCCATGTCTAGTAGGAAGCTTCTTTTTTGTAGCATCTATAAATTCACAATGTGTATGTTTTGCAATGCTGAATTGAATGAAAGCCATTAATCACAGATGTTCATACAAGCATCAACAACGAAAAGCAACAATGAAAAAGAACTGAGCCCAATTTCTGTATGACTCTCTTGCGGATGAAATCCTTGAAGCTTTAGAAAAGTTGTAAAGATACGAAGTGTGCCTCGAACCACTTGAAGAATAGTTCAGTTCAACTGAAGCTCCAGCATATATTCAAATTATCTTACAAAATCATGTTCCATAATATGTGCTAAGTATCGCCACCTTTTTTTATGAAATATTACCACCCTGACTTAATTATTACATTGTATTTCCCTCCATACTTGGTAAAGATTACATGCTTGCTCATGTAAACATACATAATCTTCTCAAAGACAGATATAGTATAAAAGACTACACCCAGTCTTAAAGAAAAATTAAAAGTTATCAACCAAATCAGATATCTCATGTTTTATTAACTATCCTTTCCTAATTAATTCTCAGATCAAATTCCATCAACTATCCTTTCTCTGGTCATAGTATCCCCTCCATCTTAGCAATCGTCATTAGAGCTGCTGGTCAAAATGAAGCACTCAAGTTCTTCTAAATAAAGTTTTTCTAAATATGTCATTCAAATTTTATATCCAAATCTAGTGCCAGAATTACACAGGTCAAAAAAGCCTCGGTATCCTCCTTAATCTCTAGCTTATTAATGAAAAGTATCAATGATGTAATTCTCGCTTATGCAACTCTCTGAACATAGAATTCTCACAAAGTTTTAGTTAGATTTAAATGTACAAGCTAAATCCAAACTAATTCGTCAAACTCAGTAAGAGAATCAAATTCCGCAGCAAATCAGACCAGGACACCACAGCCTGGGAAAAAAGAAAAAGTAAACCTTGTTAATTAAGTTCTTTATCTATAATGAGCTTCCTTTATCTATACTTTCTCACCAACCAAGCAGTAACTAAACCCGCGCCGCGCATATTCATAGAAGAAATATGAAACAAAGGAGTATCTTGCTTTTTTTTTCCTTAATTTATAAAATTTAGCATTGATACCTCTAATAGGAGCAGGCCATGACCTGCCCTCCACGCGCTTGATGCCATGAACGAGCAGCGAAGCCCATGGCTGGTGCATAGTCAAGCACGGATTGGTGTAGTTTCCTTGATTCCTTCCTCCTCCCCTCATATTCGCTCCGGACATCCAGGCGTCTCTGTGATTTTCTCGAGGCTGTTTGATCGGCGAGAAAGTTTTCCGCTTCGTGCGAAAGCTTGCGCAATAAAATTTTATGTTGCAGGAAGGCTAAGAAGTCTTTTAAAGCAGGGAACTCAAAATTAACCGCAAAATTTTAACGGCAGTAAAAATCAGGGTAAAATTTTGTAACCTTATCTTATGCACTTATCCGGATTTCTATAGTTTTCCAAGGGTATTTTAGTAAACTAACTTTCTTATCCGAGTCAGCTTATTCTGCTCGAAAGAATTTTTTCCACTCTCTCTCCGAGCCCAGAAAACTCATCTCGCTCAAAAGGGGAATGTCTGGAACCCTCTTCCGTCGTTAAACGACACTCCCTTCCTTGATAAAACGACACGACCAACTTCTCGTCGTCTTCACAAAAGGCATGTTCCTGATATTACTCTCTCACTCTTCTCCTACATCTTTTCCCTTTTCTTCTCCTTCCGATTTTCAATCCTCCAATCATATCCCGAACAACCGTTGACTTGTCTCTTTTCTTTCTGTTCTCTTATTGGACGACTTTCGAAGACTTTAGGCCAAAACAAAACAGTAGATGGAGCAATCAGTTCTTGATGATATCATCAATCGGCTTCTAGAGGTTCGGGGCCGACCAGGCAAGCAGGTCCAGCTCTCTGAGGCTGAGATCCGACAGCTTTGTGTCGTTTCTAAGGAGATTTTCTTGCAACAACCTAATTTATTGGACCTTGAAGCTCCTATCAAGATTTGCGGTAAATGATTTTGCTCTATGCATATACACGTCCGTTTTCTCTATTATTAGCTAATTTTTTAGGGCATTTTTTATTGCTTCTTCGGAGTGTATTTAATTAGCCGTGGGGAAGAATTTGTATAAACCCTGCTTTTTTTAGTATATTTTTTCGATTTTTAGCTGTTTAATTTGGATGACTGATGCTTCAACTTATGAAACCAGTTTTTTCTTTTCGTGGTTTTGGACATGCTTATATTCTCTGTCACGGGGATACCACTTCCATCAGTTAGTGTTGTTTGCATGGCTTATTAGTTTACATTTTTGTTGCTGCTTGTCTCTGTACTCAACTTTATATGAGTATGGTGTGTTATGAAGTGTCTTGAGCTGTTTTACGAGAGCGTCAGTTTTATTATTATTTATTTACTTTTTGTTCTGACTAAGGTTACATTTCATACTCAGGAGTATATTTAGTCATTACAGAGCGGATGTTCGTAATATTATCGCTGTGCTTTAGGTTTTGGTCTATGTAAACTTGGCTTCACTATTTTCTTTTTTCATACTAGATGTTTTATTTTCTCCTCTTTCTGTTAAGTAGTCTGTTTCTTGGGTCATGGCTGTGTTAAAATATTTGGGATGTAAGTGGTAATGGATTTGTCTTTTGGGCATGTAGTTCAACTGCTTATATTGACTGTACTTATAGAACTTTGTTCAGTGGTGATTAGATAGTAAGACTTTTGGATGAGGCTGTATTATGGTTATGATTTCATGATGTTATTAATAAGAGACAGTCCCATTAAATTTACTGATGATTTTAATATAGATGATATCATGCTTGAAGAGGATGTGTTTTTATCCAATCTTGTAATGTTTGTTTTGGTAATATATAATTTTCTTAATTTTGAAGTTAGTGAATCGCGTACTAGTTTCTTCAGTATCTTGTTTTGGTTGCTGTTTGATTTCAGGATAGACCATTTTCCTGTCAATTTAATAGTTTATCTTGCATTTATTGTTTGATGAATTTGTGTTAGCCTGGCCGGTGAAAATTGTATTAAGCTCAACTAGGAAAGGTAGGATACAGGACGGGTCTTAGTAGTCTGTGCCAATCCAAAAACTTAGAGATTTCATTGCATCTTGGTTAAATTTCTTTATTTGACTTTCGAAATTGTGCATTTTTTGGGTAGTATGTGGTGCAGTGTATCCAATAGTTGATGATAATCTTTTAGTAAAATAAGTT